ACAAGTTGCCGCACACGCGAGGTATTGAGAGAGGCCGGTGCAAGCTTAATGTAACTGTATCCAGATTTGTTCGCCGCTTAGGGGGTTTCGTGGTTAGGCATGTGGAGTTAGAAGGCAACAATGGCAACCTGATGCGTAATGATGGGGTTCACTTGAATTTAATTGGTTTAGACATATTTAATAGGGGCCTGCAGGCTGGTAGTAGGGTCAGTGCGATGGCGGATAGGTAAGGGATAGGTCGCCATCGCGGTGGCGGTAGTCCTGGCCAGCTTGGGGAGTCGCTGCCTGCTAAGAGCTGATGACAGGGGCAGGTTTCTCCCGACTCTTGGATTATTTCAAGGTAAAGCTGTCTGTTGGGGAAGCATCCCAACTGCTGAATGGATGATATGCTTGCTGGCATTTGGTGTTTAAGTTAAAATAAAGCTGTGGCCGTTGCCCTTACCCAACAATATAGGTCTCATGCGTGTTATTGGGCAATCTGATGGGTTGATCATGAGTCATGAGCAAAAACTATTTTGAGACCTGTGCAGGGATTTACCGAAGGGCGAGCTACTAAGTTTCTCTAAGCTTTTGTTTCTCTAAGCTCAGAGTTCTCATATTCTTTAAACTTTACCTTAGATTTCTGTTTTTTTCACCACATTTTCTGTTGTGGTACTGACTGTGTATTAATAAGATTTTGAACTCATTAACATTGAACTTTTAAAGTTGGTCATAACTAGAATATATGCATAAGTATACCCCTCTCTCTCAATATCCTCCCTGCATCTGTCTTTAGTGCGGGCCATGACTGTACAGGGAGTGCAGAATTATTAGGCAAATGAGTATTTTGACCACATCATCCTCTTTATGCATGTTGTCTTACTCCAAGCTGTATAGGCTCGAGAGCCTACTACCAATTAAGCATATTAGGTGATGTGCATCTCTGTAATGAGAAGGAGTGTGGTCTAATGACATCAACACCCTATATCAGGTGTGCATAATTATTAGGCAACTTCCTTTCCTTTGGCAAAATGGGTCAAAAGAAGGACTTGACAGGCTCAGAAAAGTCAAAAATAGTGAGATATCTTGCAGAGGGATGCAGCACTCTTAAAATTGCAAAGCTTCTGAAGCGTGATCATCGAACAATCAAGCGTTTCATTCAAAATAGTCAACAGGGTCGCAAGAAGCGTGTGGAAAAACCAAGGCGCAAAATAACTGCCCATGAACTGAGAAAAGTCAAGCGTGCAGCTGCCACGATGCCACTTGCCACCAGTTTGGCCATATTTCAGAGCTGCAACATCACTGGAGTGCCCAAAAGCACAAGGTGTGCAATACTCAGAGACATGGCCAAGGTAAGAAAGGCTGAAAGACGACCACCACTGAACAAGACACACAAGCTGAAACGCCAAGACTGGGCCAAGAAATATCTCAAGACTGATTTTTCTAAGGTTTTATGGACTGATGAAATGAGAGTGAGTCTTGATGGGCCAGATGGATGGGCCCGTGGCTGGATTGGTAAAGGGCAGAGAGCTCCAGTCCGACTCAGACGCCAGCAAGGTGGAGGTGGAGTACTGGTTTGGGCTGGTATCATCAAAGATGAGCTTGTGGGGCCTTTTCGGGTTGAGGATGGAGTCAAGCTCAACTCCCAGTCCTACTGCCAGTTCCTGGAAGACACCTTCTTCAAGCAGTGGTACAGGAAGAAGTCTGCATCCTTCAAGAAAACATGATTTTCATGCAGGACAATGCTCCATCACACGCGTCCAAGTACTCCACAGCGTGGCTGGCAAGAAAGGGTATAAAAGAAGAAAATCTAATGACATGGCCTCCTTGTTCACCTGATCTGAACCCCATTGAGAACCTGTGGTCCATCATCAAATGTGAGATTTACAAGGAGGGAAAACAGTACACCTCTCTGAACAGTGTCTGGGAGGCTGTGGTTGCTGCTGCACGCAATGTTGATGGTGAACAGATCAAAACACTGACAGAATCCATGGATGGCAGGCTTTTGAGTGTCCTTGCAAAGAAAGGTGGCTATATTGGTCACTGATTTGTTTTTGTTTTGTTTTTGAATGTCAGAAATGTATATTTGTGAATGTTGAGATGTTATATTGGTTTCACTGGTAATAATAAATAATTGAAATGGGTATATATTTGTTTTTTGTTAAGTTGCCTAATAATTATGCACAGTAATAGTCACCTGCACACACAGATATCCCCCTAACATAGCTATAACTAAAAACAAACTAAAAACTACTTCCAAAAATATTCAGCTTTGATATTAATGAGTTTTTTGGGTTCATTGAGAACATGGTTGTTGTTCAATAATAAAATTAATCCTCAAAAATACAACTTGCCTAATAATTCTGCACTCCCTGTATGTTAATTAAGTCGTGGTCAGATATTATTTAAGTTCTATGGCAATAGTTTAATATTTTTTAATCAACTTTTAAAAAATATAATGTTATAAAAAATATTTTAATTGTAAAATATTTTATATTTTTTGCTATATTGATATATTTTGTTACATGTGATACAGTTTTGATATTTTAATATGTTGCAAAACTGATTTCAAAAGTTTATCCAAAAATATTTATTCCTTTGGAAATCTTCGCCAACAATATTAAATTGAGGTCTAAGTTAGTGGGAAACAATGTAGTTTGCAAAGATTTTCACTTAGATTTTGTAGTCAATGCTTCACAAATGTTTATACATTTCCACAATAGTTAGAATATTTTCCCTCTTTTGGCCATGTTACTATATGGGCATTCAGAGACATCGCCAGGCCCATGTGGCTGGGGCTCTAGACATGCGGCCTTCTACTGCCACGCAGGAAGCGGTGCACTACTCTGCCTACACCTCCTGCTTCTGCTTCACGGTGTGCCCTGGCCTCCAGCCTCTGCCAATAAGGAAGGCTCCCATGGGTCTCTTTCCCCTTGTCTCCCCTTCTGTCTCTCCCCCTCCTCCGTTTCCTGGTCTTTCCCTGGGGTCTTCTGGGGGGGGGGGCACTTGCCTCCGGGAGGGACCCCTGTTTTCCCTTCTTCCTCCTCTGGTCCCTTTGCTCCCTTCCCCTCCCCCCCCCCGCTGGATCCTCCTTTCCTCCGCCTTCTTTTTCCTCTCCTGCTCTTCTCCCTGCTTCTTCTGTGTCTCCTCTGCCCTCTAACCTTGCCCCTGTCCTCTCTGGGTGCCCTCTCACCTCTGCTGGCCACTTACCTTGGCTGCATCCTGGTGTGGAGCGTGGGCTCAACTCCTCTCTATTGCTCTTCTCAGAGGACCTGGCTGCTGTTACTGGAACTGCCCAGCAGGTGGCACCTGGAACACCTTTGAGGAACACAGTGGACACTGGAATTCATGACAATCTGCCTTCACCTTCTGTGCTTGCTTTGCTGCAGTCGGAGCGCCTGGCATCAGTGGTAAGTACGGTGTTCCCTCTTCTTTTAGTCAGTCCAGTGCCGTGTTGGGGGGGTTCCTCTCAGGTTTTTTTAGCTCAGTGGCAGCAGGGGGTGCCGTTAGCTGGAAATCCTCTATGGATAGTCAGCTGAGGTCGGTTTGGTCCCCTGCCCAGCAACCCCTCAATGCGCAGTCCTCAGGGCCCCCTGGGTCTCTGTCAGTAGTTGTAGTGGTCCATTGCCCTCAGCGCCCTCAGGTCTCCCTGGGCCTGTAGCATCTTGCTCAGTAGCTAGTGCAGGCGAAGCTTCCCAGTAGGCAGGCGTTTCGGACGTGGCTCGTGGCGCTGCTTACATGTACTGGTCTGGCCCGCTGGGCTTGCACTTAAAGCAAGAAATTAGGGAGAGGATTTGGAAAGGGGATTTAGTAGAGATATTTTCCCTCCTGCCATTGGAGGAAGCCATTCCCTTGGTTAAGAAAGACGGTAAGGAATCCCAGAAAGACAAGGTGAAATACCGCTATCGGAAAATTCACAAGACAGTTGGGAATTGGATACAGGCGTTCTCTATCCTGGCTAGCGTCATTGGGGAGAAGGCTCCCCAATAATGCTCCACGTTGTTCTGCTATCAGGACACTATCTGGAACAAGTGTTGTACCTATGGGGCTGGGTTGGTGGAGATACGAAGAACAGTTTCATCAGAAGCTGGCAGTGCAACCCTCTTTGTCCTGGGACCAGATGGACATAGGTCTCTGGCTCTCAATTATATCTCGCCTGGTACCTCAACAAGGCGCTTTTTCGTCCTTTCTTGGGAAAGACAAGGCACATTCGAGTGGTGATACCTTCTGTTTAACAGTTTTGCACCAATTTTTAAAATGCAGTGTTTGATAAATCTCCTCTCACAGAAACAGCAGAACTATGTACATTGGCATGTCCAAGTACGTGCATTTATACATACACAGACTTCTTCATACGCTGAGATCACTTTCTTCACACAGCCTCTGGTGATGTTAGAAGCATTTATAATTGCCATAAAAGGTTCACAAGTACAGGAAGATCTGCCAATAGCTGGACTTGAAGTCCTGTCAGAATTCAGTGATTGCAAAATGTTAAAACCTTTAATGTGGCATTTTAATGTATCACATTGCGTCAGAAGTACCACTTATCTGCTACAGTCAGGCACATTTTGATTTCTTTAAGATTTTGGGTTTAATAAATGCACCCTAGTTCTTGATTACCAGTATACCTTTTGTTTGGATACATCACACTTTCTGACTACAGAGGTCTAAAGTTGCACTGTCATGTTTCTTTCTTTATTTTTAATTTTCCTTTACTTATGCTCCATGTATCTTAGTGGTTATACTCCCTCTCTTGCCTTTATTTATATTTATTATGTTTTATTCCTCGTGTCGGATCTCAGTAGCTGGGTGATATCCATTCTCCTCTGCCCATAATTTCTGCAGTTTGCCCTTCTGTGGGATTCTTTTGACTGCTGGATTGTGGGTTAATTACCTTTTCAACCGAAATTGAACTTTGTTTAAGACCCACCTATTGCAAAAAATTGCCAAACATCTGTTCCCACATTTTCTTATGTATAACTAAAAAACTATGGTGCAAATGTGGTGCCCTCCTTGCCCGCATGATCGCCAAAAAGAGAGCGGCTGCCTACATCCCGGGAATCAGAGACAGAGATGGGAAGCTGCACAGTGTGCCGACCGCGATGGCCAACACTATTCGGGCGTACTACGCGGACCTATATTCACTCGACCCACCCAGGGGAGAGGGAGCTGGTACAGAAAGGAAGACGCGAATAACAGACTACCTAGAACCGCGCATCGGCAACTGCATCTCACAGGAGGCAAGCGCAGAGCTAGACGAACCGATCGAGACAAACGAGGTAGCATGGGCTCTCAAAACGCTATTACAAAACCTTTGCGGAACTCCTCGTCCCTCGCCTCACGACGGCACTCAACGCGATCCGAGAAGGGCAGATATTCCCGACACAGACCTTGGCGGCTAACATCACCCTAATACCTAAAGAAGGGAAAGATCCTGAACAATGTGCGAACTATCGCCCCATCTCACTGTTGAATAGCGACTTGAAGCTTTTCACGAAGATACTCGCACAGAGACTTCAGGCCCACCTCCCGAACTTGATACATAAGGACCAGGTGGGATTTACCCCGCATCAAGAGAAGCGCGAGATAACACAATCAGAGCACTCTCCCTGATCCACCTCGCAAAAACCAGGCAGGAAGGCCTTCTCCTGCTCTCCACGGATGCGGAGAAGGCCTTCGACAGGATCGCATGGGACTTCATGTTTCAGGTCCTCGAAAAGCTGGGGATGGGGCCTTACATGATGTCCTGGATCAGAGCTCTGTACTCGCAACCAACAGCACGGATCTGCATAAATGGAGCCTTCACAGACCCCTTCGTGATCAGGAATGGAACCAGACAGGGCTGCCCCCTCTACCCCCTGCTCTTTGTGCTAGCCCTGGAACCATTCCTGAACTCGATCCGAAACAACCCGGATATCCCGGGATTGGAGACAGGAGGGGGGAAACACGCAGTGGCAGCATATGTGGACGATCTACTGTTCTTCGTAACTAAGCCGGAAACATCCATGCCCACGATAATGAAGGAATTCGAAAAGTACGGGGAGCTATCGAACTTTAAAATCAATTTTTCCAAATCCACGATCCTCAATGTCTCCGTCTCGGGTTCCAGAGCGACGGCCCTTGAATGAGCGCTGCCATTTCAATGGTCCGCCACCTCCCTGAAATACCTCGGCGCAGTGCTAACAAACGACCTCTCCCAACTGTACGCAGCGAACTTCCAACCACTCCTGACCACTATACAGAAGGACCTGCAGGAATGGGACCAGGTTCGCCTCTCATGGTTTGGAAGAGTGGGAGTGCTCAAGATGAACATCCTACCGAGGGTCCTCTACCTGTTTCAGGCTATCCCCGTGACCATACCGGAGTCATTTTTTACCTCCCTTAGATCGATGGCCCTCCGGTTCACCTGGCAGAGACAGAAGGCTAGGATACAACATGACGTGCTCACACTACCGAAAGCCAAGGGAGGCCTAGCTCTGCCAGACTTTAAGAGATACCATAGAGCCAGAGGATGTAGAGTCTTCTCTGGTGGAGAGACCGATGGCAGTCCTCCCCTGGCAAGACCCCCAACAAAGCAGACAGCTAGCTGCTCCACACCCCCTAATCAAAGCGACCGTGCGGGTTTGGCAAGCTCTGGCAGTACCACTCTCGCTCACCTCCACACCATCCCCAATGATGCCCCTAGTCCATAATGAGGTCTTCCCACCAGGAAGGGAACCAAGAACGTTGGTCCAGCTGCTGGGACAAGACATACTGAGGCTCTTACACGCCATAGACGACGGCCGCCTCAAATCACTAGAGGCCATGACGGGGAACTCCGATCACCCTTTTATGCTCCAATTCAGATACCGACAACTGAAAGGGCTTATACAAGAAACCACCCGAAACAATCACACCCTCAGACCCTTAACAACGTTTGAAGAGATATGCATGGACCCGGACCCGCTGCCGAGGGGCCTATCAACGCTCTATGGAATGATCATGCGGTTGAGGAGGCTACCACCCCCAAGCTTCATGGGGAAATGGGAAACAGTTTTAGGCACCACATTCACACCCAACCAATGGGACAAAATATGCACCCTCTCACTACACTGCGCACCATCCAGCAGAACGCAAGAAACAGCATACAAAATAATGTCCCTTTGGTACCGCACTCCACACACACCTATACGACCCCACGAAGGACGACGTATGCTGGAGGTGCAACACACACAAGGGAACATACCTCCACATATGGTGGGAATGCCCAATCATCCAACCATATTGGTCAGCCATTCACACGATCATAAAAAGATTCACAGACTCCCCACCACCCATGAACCCCGCAACATTCCTCATCCATCACACCAAGACAAAAGCATCGACATATAAAAAATCCTTAACTATACGGATACTGAATGTAGCCAAAAGCCTAATCCCCCTCTATTGGAAAAAACAATGCGCGCCCCCGTTAGGGACGTGGTACCAAAGAATGGAGGAGCTGAGAGCACTGGAAGAGCTCTCCCTGCTGGCAGAGGGGAGGACCCAGACGTACATGACGGTCTGGACACACTGGATACTGACCTCGACTAACGCTGACTTCCAGGATCTGTTGACTTGACTGAAGACACCTGACGGGACAAAAGACTACCTTGACTGAGAGAGCAACTACACAAATAAACAGAAAAAATACCAGAAACAATATCATAATAAATAAAACTCCCCCTCCCCCTCTTCTCCCCTCCTACCCCCCCTCACCCATCCCCCCCTGGGGGAACGCGCGGGCGGGAAGGCGACACAGTAGAGAATTTGATAGGACGTAGAGGCTCCGGACGGACGGGCACCCTCTTAACAAAGAAAGGAAGAGAGGGAAAAGATAAGGGTAGCAAAGGGGGAAAGAAAAAGAACAGGAAGGGGAAAGACAAGAGTAAAAAGAGAGAAAAAGAAAGGAGGGAAAAGAAAGGGAAAGGTGCAAGGGAGAAAAGAAGGAAGGAGAAAAGAGAATAAGAAAGGAAAAACAGGAAAAGAGACAGGGGCTCACGGTTAAGGATAAGACAAGGAGAAACAAGCTTGACCTCGCACCCACGTCAAACGCGGGAGTCAATGAGCAGACAGGATTAAGTCAGTACAAACCACCTCCGCTCCAGCCAGACTAACAGGGGTCCACCCCACCGACACCAAAGATCCTAGACCTGAACTCGCAAGGCACGCACAAAATCCTGTTTCTCCACCATACGGTTGGTCACTACACACTACCTGTCTTGGCACAGGACACAAACCACCTCTGTCACACTAGGTGGCCTAGCACAGCCATAACAACCGTACGCTAGAGGGAAAGCCCTATCCACACAAAGGTTTTTAGGAACTACGAGTCCAACTAGAATGTTTCTTAAGACTATTTGATGACTTGCATGTCACCATGGTTGTTCACTATAACTATCTCATGTCTGAGACGTAAAATGAAAAAGCCTTTATTGGACCTGCGTGTCCGCGATACTGTTTATGCATAAAATGGAAATTCTTTGAATAAAAGAAATTTACAAAAAACTATGGTGGATAAAACTAAAATTAATAACAATATGTAGAAATAGAGATAAAACATGAATGATTTAAAAATATAACCTGCAATGTGGGAGCTATTTTAATGGAACACTCCTAGCACCAAAACTGGATTAGGGCCACGTCCTAGAGTGCTATGTTCTGTAAATAAGGGTAACTAATTATCATGCATGTGGTGGTTGAGCATTGTATTTGTGGGCGAGATTGAGTGTTTTGGGTGTATGTGAGAGGGTATGTAGTGGCTAAGTTTTATATATTTAGGGGTATGCTGACTGTACCTGTGAGTTTTGGTTGTGTGTTGTATGTGGTGGCTGAATTTTGTGTGCGGACAAGATTCTGAGATCTGGTTTAATAAAAAAAGGGGCGGACACCCATCAACGCGCAATGGGTGCGGCCCTATTGCGCAACAGGCGTGGTTTCATAAAAAGGGGCAGGCCGCCTATCATATTGTGCAAGGGGCGTGGTTCCATAAAAGGGGCGTGGTTTCATAAAAAGGGGTGGGGCACCCGTCAAAAGTTAGTTTGATGACTTGTACCGCTATACACTACTCTCTCCACATGCATGGCTACACTGCGTTGAAGTGATGTCCAGTGTATTCCTTCTGGTGCTCAGACAAGACACTATGTTGTTCCTTTCTTACTTCCCCTAGCAAAACCACCCCTATTTTCTTGTTTTATGTCTATGGTTGAAAATTAGAGGAACTCTTCGGGGGGATTCATTGCTAAAGGGAAGTTTTATTGATTTTATATTCATTCTATTTTGCACATAGTATTTGCAACTTTTGCATATATATTTGCACTTGCATGAGTAACAGGTTGTAATTGTCACCACAAATATTAATATATGGTGCTCAGACAAGATTGTGCGAGAAGACAGAAACTGCCAAAACAGCCCCTTGAGTACAGCCTGCAGTCGGTGACAGATCCTCACTGAACCACAGGGTAGCCACCATCTTGACAAAGAGTAGCATGACTAAAGCACCCTAAATTTTCAATATTTGTTTTGTGTCTGTCTCTGTCAGTGTTTATGTATGTGTGTCTGTCAGTGTGTGTCTGTTAGTGTGTAAATGTGTGAATCTTTTAGTGTTTGTGTTCCTGGCAGTATGTGTGTGCATGTTTGTCTGTGCATGGATGTGAGGCATGTTTGTGAGTATATCTGGCATTGAAAATCAGTATCTGTATCTGGGAATGTGTGTGTATCCCCATGTGTGTGTCTGTAATGTACGAGGCCTGTCCAGAAAAAGTCAATTTATTGTTAATATAATGAGAATGGTTTGTGCAACATCGATATAACAAAGACGACTTTACTGTATTAGTCAGTGGGGTGCTAGACACCTTTGAGAGAGCATGTGTATTGTGTCACTGTTGCATTCAAAATAACTAAATGAGTAGAACAAAGCATCTGCATCAAATTTTGCATAAAGCTTGAATATTCCTCTGCGGAAACTATTCAGATGATTCAGAAGGTTTTTAGGGTTGATGCAAGCGCGAATAAAAGTGTGTACAAATACTTCAAAGATGTTCGAGAATGTGTTAAAAGATTTGGCTCCCTGCAACTTCTGGCTTTTCCTAGAACCAAAATCACCTTTGAAAGGGAAGAGATTTCAGGCGGTCGATGAGATTTTGGTAAATGTAATGAGGTAACTGATGGAACAGTGGAAGAGATGCTGGAAGAACTGTGTGAGGTCCCAAGGTGCCTATTTTGGAATGTACTGAGGCGTCAATGTCTTATGCACAATGTTTCTTGTATCTTGTTCAAAAAATGTCTCTATTTTTAATTTAACATGGCTGAATACTTCCCGGACAGACCTAGTGTAAGTGTGTGAGTGTTTATGTATGTGGCTGACAGCATGTGTATGAGTATG